TAAGGCGTCCTTTCCAGTAGCCTCCCGCAGACGTCCTTTGGGGCTCGTTCGTCACGCATTCATTTCTCCCCCACGGTCCGTGGGGGAGAAATGAATGCGTGACGAACGAACCCCAAAGGACGTATGCAGGGAGGCTACCTTTCCAGCCGTGTTGATGGATTTTCTCTAACGGGTCCAAGACAAAAGTTGAAGAAAAAACCGTGGTCTATTCGTACATTGTGACGTGTTGTTTGAGACTCCTCGTTTTTGCATCATTTATTTCTTCTTCACTGCCATTTTGTTTGAGACATATTTATATTTTTTTCATGTAACAATATGAAACACTAAAAAACTTAAGGTTTACCCACAAGTTGTGCTACGACAACTGAGCGAGAGGTACGAACAATGTGAGCGATGCGTGAAAACCAAGAATAAAGCGCGAGGATCGTTTTTCTATACAAAAAAGCTTAACAAACTTACAACATCCTTCAAGCACCGCTTTTCTTCCTCAGTTTCAAGAGTGCTAGTATCACTTGGGTTGCGAATCCATCTGTAGTCTTCAAATACTGGTTTTCCCTCCTTTGCCCTCTGTTGAAGTTTCTCCTGAAAACGACATATAAATAAACAAATAAATAAACCCAGTCGAACCTTCCGTAAGCGACCACCCAAAATGCGACGATTGAGTGGTGGCTTTCAGGGAATTCGAGAATTAACCCACAGAGGATCTTTTCCCTGAAGAAGTTTCGACACATCTACTACAGAATTTATTGCATGCAATTTCTTAGTTACGATTATTATCAATATGTGTAGTTCCATGTTGTCAGGGAAAGTTCTTTGTATACTCTGAGTGGCTTATTACATACAGCGAACAAAGAGATACCACTATGCACAAACGGTCGCTTACAAGAGGTTAAAACAAAGTAAAATTATAAAAAGTTAGCCGCCAAAGTCGCTTTCGAGAGGTGGTCGTTTACAAGAAGTTTTAATTATAGGAGTTTGACTGGGCAGGGTGCAAAGAAAGTCAGTTTTACGGCCTGCCATTCGGGCAAGCTGTAGCTAGCATGTACTAGCCCACAAGTCATTTTACCTAACCCCAAAACCCTTTTGGATTAGCAGGATTGATTACAATCCTTCTGTAATTTGAATTTCCCCAAAAAACAGCACTTGCGCGTCAAGCAAGTTAAGAACAAAAATCACTAGCCCAATAGCAAAATCCACCAGTCCCGGGCTATCGGACACGACTTTCTTTGCACGCTGCTGGGAAAACTTTGATGTTTTGGATAGGTGGCCCGCGTTTACGAGAGGTGATCGTACATGGAGGACATGGAGGTTCCACTGTAAATATATATTTTCTAAGAGAAAGAGAAGTTGTTATATTAAATCGACTAAAGTTCCTTTGAGTAAAGAATTTATGAATAATTAGACTTACCTTGGATATGGTGATTTCAGTCACATAAGGACATTCCTCTTTCTTGGTGATCACTTTGATGCGGTTGCCAAGGTAAAAACCCTGTGAAGAAAAACATTTTAATCACACATTTATCATGGTCCTGTACGGTGAACCGGCTCTGATTTGTTCAGAGGATGCAATATTAGGAAGCTTATTAAGCAAAAGCTGTTCATGAGCGACGCAAGTCAACCTTAACACTACCAGTCTGCGGACACAAACGTATTAAGAATTTTCTCCAGACGTATTTAATCGATATCAATCGATAGTAATCGATATTAATCGATGATTAATTTCAATTTCCGATATCAATCGATGGAAATCGATAAAGAAAAAAGTTGTGACTTCGATTAATATCGATGATTTTCCGATAGAAAGCGATAATGATTTTTTATCAATTACTATCGATTATTATCGATTTTGTTAATCGATAATAATCGATAAATTATTTTTTCTGTGACCTCGATTACTATCGACTTCCGATATCAATCGATATCGATGACATCAAGTGATTTCCGATATCGATTCTTATCGATTAACGACGTCTGGATTTACTTCACTCTGGGTCCGGCCGCCCACGTTTATAATATTTCAGATCATTGTATAATGGCGTAGCTTGTAGGATTTTGAATTATTAACGAGAGATTGTCAGAGATTTTTGACTCACTCTCAGTCACGGATGTGTATGTACAATCGATTCATCAAATAAAATTGAAATAAATCGCGCGCCTGAGTGCGATGTTATAAAGCTATATTATTTTCCTTTTGCTGTAGCGATTATCTTGTTCAGGTGTTGTTTGTGTCACGGACTACTGTACTTTATAAAGCGAAAACAAAAGCCCACATCACATACATAGCTCACGATGACGTTGCTTCACAAAGAAGTCAGCATTCAACATCACAGGAAACCCTCTTATAGTCGCGAACACATTCTAAAGGGTATTTAGAAACACTCGCCAAAATCCTAGACACGCCAGCTCGCGAGGTCGCGAGGAGTTACTCGAGCTGTATTCTGTCTCAATCTGATTGACCGACATCAAAACAAAGGTTTCACGTTACGGAAATCGTTGTGCCGCTCGGGTTCGCAGACGTTACTTTTCGGGCGGAGCACGCGGATAGAGGCGACTACCGGAAATACGTCTGTGTCCGTAGGCTATAACGCTACCTAATTTGTATTGCAAAGTGATTTTAATCTTATAAACACGATTTGCCTGAAAACTTGGGCAAAAACCACTGCCCAAGCATGCGAGCAAGAAGTCCATTTCCAATTGACCTGCGTCTCTCAAAGTGTCTTTGCTTACGCTCTCTATTCAGGGGCACCCAACGTCAATTTTCGGTAAATATCTGTTCGGAAGACGATTTGAGATCTAGAATTTTCGGAACATTTGTTGTAAAATTTCTTGCTAACCTGTCTCTCCTAGGATTTTCGAACATCCAAAGAATGGTTTAATTGCCTTGACTGACTGCGAACTACTGTTTTTAGGGTTACAAAACAATGGAACTATTGCTGTCACGTACTCATTGCATGGTGAAAACAGTAGTCCGCAGTCTGCGTTTTACACTGGCCAATTTAATTTTTTTCTTGTGACTTACTGCTTGAGTGGCTCCTACTCCAAACTTTGAGATAGCACCATCCAAATAAGCAGGAATGAGATCAACTTCTTCCTTCTCAAGCCCACGATCAGCTTGTGATAAAAAGTATGTAGCAAACGCCTTGAGTCCCTCATATGACATACCTTCTCCATTGTCAAATATTGCAACCAGTTTCTGTCAGGAACAGGTATAAAAACATTCTCTCTTTTACCATTTTTACATTTATCATTTCTAAACAGCTCTGTTTTACACAGAGGGAGAAAAGGTCATGAGTTAATTAAAAATGGCTGATGACAGCAACGTCATAGTTACAAACATTTCGGTGGCCAGTTTGCTCTCCGCCCAGGTTGTACTTAAGTTGTAAAGAACGTGTAGCCTGCGAGCGAGCTTTTCATTTGGGGAATACCGTGAAAAGTAGACGCGCGAGAGGCACGCGAGAGGAGACGCGAAAGTGGGGGGTGGGGGAGAGAAAGGAGAGCTCCTTTCTTCGGCTCCTCGCGGCTTCGACGATCGCTCGCGCGTCCAAATAGGACAGCTTGCTCGCAGGCTAAAGTGTCAGACTGAGGCGTCTAAAATTAAGGTATCAACCTTTTACCAAAGGGTTCGTACAGATTTTTGGATCCAAAATTCAAGACTTTTTCCAGACGTTTTCCAAAGCAATAACTTCTTTTTACAGACTCTAGGCCCGGGGGGGGGGGGGGGGCCCCGGGGTTTTTTTTGGGGGGGTTTGTGCCCCCGGGGCCCCAAAATTGGACCCCTTTTACAAAAAATTTCCCCAAAAATTTTTCCCCCCTCTGAAACTCCCCACAAAACATCACCCACCTTCTGCAAAAGGGCACATGTTTTTATCTCCTGTTT